TAAAAAAAGGCAGCCAACATTGTACCATCTAAATACAGAAGGCTAAATTTGTTGTCAAGTTCTTATTAACTGTTATTAGTTATGAAAATTTATTTTAGATTTTAAATTACATTAAATTATAAATTATAAATTTTTGATTGAAAAATGAATCTATAACATTGGAATTTCCTCTATTTTGAAAATTTTTATTTTATAATTTAATATGATTTAGATTATAAAACAACAAACTTTATTAATTATATAATTTTTTTTAAAGCAATCTTTTCAATGCTCAATTATACACTTGTCAATTGGGCATACCCAAGAGGAAAAAAATTAGTTATATATAGAATTTGCAGAAGCATTAGCCTAAATTGAGCTTATAATGAACCAATCTCACCTTTGAATTCACTATTAAGCATGTTAGGTCAGTCCAAAGCCTTCGAGGGGCACTAAAACAAAGATTGAAGAAAAGCAAGAAATTTCTTTTTTTATTTAACGGTCATAACATTCTTAGATCAATTGCATACATTTCTAGGGTAATTTCTCTTTATTCAATCAAAGGTAGGTTGAGAGGATGTGGCTAATACTACACAAAATATTGTTTGGGTAATATAATTTAATTATTATTTTATTAATTTATAATTTTTTAAACAGTTTGTGAACAATTATTTTAGTCTTTTACAAATAGTTATTTATTATTTACTTTAATAAAATAGATTAAATATTTTGAATTATAAATAATAATAATTTTTAATTGCTAACAACCTATATAATTTAGTAATCATTTTCTTTTACTGAAAATAAGAGATTCTGAATTCAATTTGCATAGTTTACGAATGAAGTAGAATAAGAGATGAGAGATGATTGTTTTCATTATGTAACCACAAAATAAAAAATAAAAATTATTAACTATTAGGTACAAATTTTTAGTTATCAATCATATCAAAATAGTTAATTCAAATAATTTTTTAATTATAATATTTAAAAATATTCTATTAATAAATTAATTTTAATATATTAAATAATAAATATTAATTATTAATTATTCATAATAATCAAATTAAAATAAAAATTTCACAGATCGCGTGGCCTCAACGAGTTTTAGTGTGAACAGAACGTCTACCATGCTGAGGGTTAAAAAATTTATGAGAATATATTTGTTTATTCGCCTCCATAAAAAATTAAATTTTACTTAATAAAGTATATATATCAAATCCCCCTATACCAAATCACTATTCTTTGTGTAAGTAAATTTTTCTCTTTTAAAGAATGATTTGCTCCGGTCCAATGATATTGGATTTTAAGTTAGGCATGTTCATCTCCAGTAAGTTGCACGTTCAAACCCTACGAAATCCCTTTCTCCCTTCCACCAATTAACTTTGTAAATAATTATAAATTATTCAAAAAAAAATTTTTTTCTCTTTTAAGATAACAAAAATGTGTTGTGAAGTTGAGGCCCACGACTTAAATTATTGTGTGTGAGGCAAGACCTTTCATATTGAAATTATCTCCTCTAATAACTTACATTTTACAAATTAATCATTTAAAATTACAAAATAGAAAATTTTTTGTCTAAAAAAGAAAAGTATCGTAAGTAATTAAGAATTTGAGATTTTATATTAAAAATTTTGAATTCGAACCTAAATAAGTGAGAGAGATTTTTTTGTTATAACTTTTGCATATTTTTTTCGCACAACATGTTATTTAAAAATATAAAATTATAATTTATAATAAAAAATAAAAATTAAGATATTTTGTCATGAAAAACATCTATACCTCTAATCTTAATTACATGATAAAAAAAATTTAAGTAGAATCTATATTACATTTTACTTATGATTATGATTAGATATCTTGATAAATTTTTAACATATCTTTCTCACACAATATCTTATTTAAAAATATAAATTTTTAATTGAAAAGTAAAAATCAAAATATTACAATATTATAAATGTTAGAACATCTAATCTTAATCACATAATAAATAAGT